CCCGCGTTATCCACTTAGAGGAGGGTGATTTTCCGACGTTCGGGGGCCGCGTTTCTCTCTGGCTCCCGGCCCTGCGCCCGGGGTGATTGATGGTGGCGGCGTCGGCGCTTAGCCTGGGTGACCACGCGCGGACGTGAGGGGCGCTGACCTCTGCGGGCACAGCGCCCTCTCAGTAAAGGTCCCCATCCTTACGACGTAAGGAAGGGCCGTCAGGCACTGTGTGCGACAAGTACCGACGGGCGGGCTGCTTGTTAAATAACGATTGTGCTTTCCGTTCATTGGATGACAAACTTGCGCAGAAGCGCTGGCCTTTCTTCAGCCGTCTAAAGAGTGCCCAGGGTCGGGAGCAGAGATGAACGAACGGCCCGTCTGAATTCCCCGTCTGTGTGGCCCTTTCTCATTGTGGGGCCTCATACACCTGATGACATGTGTGGACTCTCTGCTGTGAGCCACCTTTCGTGCTAGGCACTTGGAATGCAGAGTGAATGCAAGGTTCCTGACCTGGGATAAGCTGATTAAGCTCTCTCTCTCTGTAAAATGAAGAAACACCTACCTCACAGGCTTACTGAAAGGATTAAATGGCATAATACACACGAAGTGTTTACTGAGTGCCCAGCACGAATTAGGCACTCAGAAAACAGTAGTGGTTATTAGTTCATATTAATCATAACTATTATGGAAGGTATACTAAAGTGTTAAATAGAAGTCTAGACAGACTAAGAATATACATTGCAAGAAAGGGGGAATCAAAGCATCACAGAGGTGGTGGTGTTTGAGCTGATTTTATTGTCGCGCCCCGTTCATGTCTGATGTGAACAAACCCAAAGTTCCAGTTTGGAGCAGAGAAAGGTTTGTGAGTTGAGGCGCCAGCGCGGAAGATGGGAGGCCTAGACTCATCTCAAGTCCTCGGTTACAAGGCTCTAAGGAAGCGTAGGATTTCACTGAGCAAACATATGGAGCCATGAAGTAAGGAGGAAAGCACTTCTGGCAGAGCCAGCAGCAGGAGCAAAAGCTCAGAGGCATGAAAGTGCTGGCGTGATGGGGCGGAGAAGCAGGCTGAGCTCTGGTTATAGAACATGTTCTGTCAGGGACTCGAGACTGTTAGGTCCTCGGAGGGTTCTAATAAGGGCTGCAACATGTTCCGGGAGATGTGGCAGGCTGGCCGTGGGGAGATGCGATGTATTTTACCACTTCAGGAAGGTAAGCCCTCCCTCCTTCCTAGAATCCACGCTGTACAACTTGATGTTCCAGCCTTCCTTGGGTTTTTCCTCCTCCATCGGGGAAGCTGGTGGACATAGCAGAGAAAAAGCGTGGGCCACACCTCTTGGCATTGAGGGCTTCCCCAGTCTTGTTGGAGATGTGTGTTCTGTTGCGCAGATCCTGGAAAGTTAAGGACGAGCGAGGTGCTGAGGTCCCATCCTGGAGTGCCTGGGCCTGGGCCGTGAAAGTGGGTCACGTCTCCAGGAGAAAGACAGTCAGGCAGTGAGTCTGTAGGAGAGGCGATTTTTAAAGCTCTGGGTGTGGAGTTATTTATTCGTTCTGTTTAAGCTCGTGCTGTGCTGGGAACTGCGGGGCACTGGGGACACCTGGTTGTTTGAGACACAGTGCCTGCAGATTGAGGAGCTCTGTGCCTTAGTGAGTTGCAGTGGCCACAGGTAAACTACTAGAGTCCAGAGTGCTGTACGCGGTAAGAGACACAGAGTCAGGTGGTTTGGGAAACAGAGAAGGAAGGGCCTGTTACCTGCTGGGATGGGAGGTGGTCTTGCTAATGTGGCATTTTAGCTTTGGTAAAGCTTTGTCATTGAATCTCTGTTCTATGGAGTACTGAATTGAACCTCTTACAGTCAAATGCCCTGTCTTTCCTTACACTGAGCCTGCCCAGAAGGAACAGATTTCTCATACATCATAGGCGCCTGTGTCATTCTAAAGTTGATCTTCCCAGTATTTGGTAGGGTACTTTGTCAGCAACAGAAAAGGGGAAAAAAAAGTTCTCAAAAGGTAGAGATAGTGCAGTCTTTGTAATAAAATATCCCCAATTTTATTTGTCTTTATGTCTAACAACTTGGAATCTCATTCTTAGATGAAAATTGGAAATAACTTTTGAAATGACTTTTACTTCTCTGGTAACTGAATGGTGGTTTTTAGTTGCTTTGAAACATTTTGTTGAATTTCTTCTTTCATTCAATCAGCACACATTTGCTCATCTTCTTTGTGTGCCAGGCATTGTGTTGACACAGTGCGGGGACACGAAGAAGGAAAAATAACATCGTGCTCGTATCTTGGGGATACAGGCAGACAGTTCAGCGCAATACTGTATTGTGCTGGTGGAGGCCTGTACAGAGTGCAGTGGGAGGCGGGGGAGGGAGCTTTAGCCAGGAGAGTCAGGGGTGGTCTGTACTGCGATGTGACCAGAGCGCCGAAGGACCCGTGGCAGAGGGGGACTGCCAGGCACACCAGTGCACAGAGGCACGCGAAAGGTCGGAAGTTGCTGCCTTTTCCCCCCAGGGTGAGGTTACATCCTCTCTTTAACTTGCCCTTCATCCCTCCCCAGGTTACCAAGTGACAGGGGTGTTCATGAAGAACTGGGACTTGCTGGATGAGCATGGAGTTTGCACTGCTGACAAAGACTGCGAAGATGCTTACAGAGTTTGCCAAATCCTAGACATCCCTTTCCGTCAAGTGTCCTACGTGAAGGAGTATTGGAATGATGTGTTCAGGTGGGTGCAGCTGACAGACGTGAAAGGCCTCCGATGTTCTGTGAGCCCTTTCCAAGGGCAGGATGGCCATACTCAGCCAGGCTGACAGCATGCAGCCAGTGCTTTGTGTTTTGGCAGTGGTGCCAAAGACCGTGTGTGGGAGGCCTTAGCCGCCCTGGGGGCCCGGTGTTAGATGCCTGGATCCCAGAGCGCCCCCAGCCCGTACTCCTGCTACTGTGCCCCCAGCCAGAAGTCTCTTTAATGTCTTTGGAACCTTGAGATGTTTCTGCTGCTAAATTAGTGTAGGGGACCTGAGGCTGAGGCCTCCCCTGGGAGGTGCCACGGGGTGAGTATCCTTGCAGGCATCCATGTGGGTCAGCGATTCAGGGTTTCTGAGAAAAAGAGTTAGGTGACCCACTCCCCTGTGCCTTTTGAAAACAAGAAACAAGCAGACAAAAAACTAAAAATTCAGTATAACCCCGACAGTTGTTATCAAGGGCTCACCCTGCACCAGGCACCGGTAAACTCGGGAACGGAAAGGTGTGCAAGCCGCAGTCCTGTTCTGTGCGGATTTGCAGTCCAGCCGGGCAGAGGACTGGACTGTCAGAAGAGGTAAAGATGGTGGTGAGTGGCACACAGGAAGCACCCGAGGTTCTGTTAAAATGCTGCAGGTTCAGAGGAGGGAGAAATGTGTCGTGTGGAGTGGTCAGGAAGGCGTCGTGGAAGAGGTGAGATTTGACCTGCCCTTGAAAATAATGAGACTAGAGAGGACATTCTGAGTGGGACGGCAGGAGCAGTGCTGAGAGGAGGAGAGGGCCCTCATCTATTTCAGGACTGCTGAAAAATTTGGCCAGACCCTTGTTGCTGCAGAGGAAGGGTGCTTGGGGCTGGAGTCTTGTGAGCCTTGACAGGGCCGTGAGCCTGGGGTGGCCGGTGAAGACATCCGAAGGCAGCAGTGACAGGCAGGGGTGGGTTATACTTTAGTGTCAGAACATCCTTGGGTTCTCTCCTGATTCTGCCACTTACTGTGTGATCTTGGGCAATTTACTTGACTTCTCTAAGCCTCCTTTTCTTATCCTTTAAATGGGGATAATGGCTCACAGAGGCATAGTAAGAATCAAATAAGATTGTGTAGAGAGTGCTTAGCACAGTGCCTGGTATATTAGAAGCAATAAGTGTAGCGTGTGTTATTTTCATTATTAAAAGAATAAATCTGGCAAACAAGTGTAGGGTAAATTATGGGAGGAGACTGCGGGCAGAGAATCTCAGGAAATGCTGGGGACTTGGAATAACGTGGGAGCGTGGAGGGGAGGTGAAGGCTGGCTGTGACAGGTCCCTGCGGACAGATCCTCTGGGCGGTGGATGTCAGGCTAAGGAATCAGCTGGGGTGCTTGTTAAACACACGTCTGGACCTGGGTCTGGGATGGGGCCCTGGAATCTGCACTTTAACAGGCGCTTCAGTTGATTCTGTGGAGGGGGTCCTCCAGGTCTTTGGGAAGCAGTGTGATGGGCTTGGTGCCTGTTGAGCGTGGGGGCAAGAGAAAGTGAGGAAGAGTCAGTGATGGCTTCATGATCAAGGCCGGATGGGTGGAGAAAGCAGGTTTGGGGGATTCCTTTGAGCACTGCAGGGATTGAGGCCATAGCAAGAAATTTAGGTACTCGTCCCCCTTGTCCCCTTGGTCCCCAGGGATGCCTGAAACCACAGACAGAACCGAACCCTGTGTACACGATGTTCCCTGTCCATACACACCCTGATAATGTTTGATTTACAAGGTGGGCACAGGAAGAGACTATCCGAGTTGCCAGTGTCACCACTTTTGTGCTTTGGGGACATTATTAAGTAAAATAAAGATCACTTGAGCACAAGCACTGCGATCCTTGACAGTCGAGCTGATCACCGGGACGGCTACCAAATGACTCGATGGGAACTACTTACGTAGTTTACGGCTTGGTGAACCTCTTGACAACTTTGCAACAATTAGAATAAAAAGGAGGAGCGAGTGTAGTAGCATCAAATGTTGAAAATACGGAGCAGCGCGAGTCTCTGCAGTCCCGGGAGGAATGGCAGGCGGTGGGCGCGCGGTCTGGCCTTGCCTGCCGGAGCTGAAAATGCGTGTGTGGTCTCCGAGCCCGTGCAGGTTGTTCATCTGTCTTCGTGACATGGCCGTCTTGATCAGCGTTTTTTTTTTAAACCATTGCTGATCAGTGGAGAGCTTCAGGTTAAATGAAAAAATGGTCACAGACACCAGAAATACACCCAATTTAAAACTCCTGAAATGCGCATCACAGTCCTCTGGAAGTGAATACTCCTAAGACCGGGAAATTCTTGCTCCTCCTCCCACGTCCAGTCTGTTAGAGCAGAAACCCACTTACGAGGATGCCGGATCCACTGCTCAGCGCCAGGAGGTTGCTAGTCCTCAGACGTATGTGTTGGTCACATTAGAAAAGGTATTTTTTTAGTGTATTTGCCCAGCGACCTGGGTTCCCACGCTGAGATGGCGAAGTGGCTGGCTGAGCCCCGAGCTGTAACTCTGGGTTGTTTTATTCCTACTCTGACTCCGGCTGAGTCTCTTCCGCACCTAAGCCTGCCTGTGATCGAGAGGCCCAAGGGAGCCGGAGCTCAGCGAGCCCCTCACATCCCTCCCCGCGTATCCTGGGAGCCCCCGGGGAGCCAGGGCGCCTCAGTTTTCCTTCTGGCTTATTAGTCGTCAGAGGTTTAGATGGAAAGCACAGCTGGCTTTAAACAAACGTTTGGTGGAAGTGTTGGAACTGGCTGTATCCTGACGCTCTCCTGTTTGCAGAAAATTCTAGTTTTGTCGAGACAGGGAGAAACTCTCAGCAAGTAATTTACCTGATTTCTCTTTTTGAGGAATGTTCCACACTTAGAAAAGTCTCTTTCTTTCATTCCAGTGATTTTTTGAATGAATATGAAAAAGGAAGAACTCCCAACCCCGACATAGTCTGCAACAAGCACATCAAGTTCAGCTGTTTCTTTAATTACGCTGTGAATAATCTTGGTAAGTAATTTGGATCATCTTCATTTGTCTTTTTAAAAACCAGCAGATTTTTCAGAGAAAGCCAGAAGTCAAAACCTTGTAAATAGTTTCCTCTTTCAGAAGGAAAGGAAGCAGTGAAAATGGTCACATTTCACTGAATAAGGAAGAGCTCTCTGGCCGTGCACAAGTGATAAGTTCCCGGGGTGGGGCTGGGGGCTGCCTCTCTGTCATGGTCCGCGCAGCTGTAAGGGCAGGAGAGCCCCCTTCAGAAAACCCCGAGGTAAGACGTGTGGGATCACGGCTGAAGAGTTGAAAGGTGGGGCCACTAGACCCTGCCTGCAGGTTCAGCTTTGCTCAGGGTCGCTCTGCTTCCAGAAGTGATTGTACAGAGCAGAAGTTTCAGGAGCCTGGTTAGGGCTTAAGAAACTCAGCATCGACTTTCTTGTTAGTCATCCTTTTGGCTAGTCCTACCGACCTCTCTTGTATTAAAAGTAGGTTTCTGCTTTGTCCGGAGGACAGGTCTGGGTCTGTAGCTGAGTCTGGATCCTGGGTCTCTATTTGGTTTCTCTGCTTTGAGCCGTGTCTCAGTGGTCTGTTCTAAAAGCCTGTTTATGCTCAGGGCCCTGCTGCCACTGACCGGCTGCCTGTGGATCACATCTGTTCCCAGATTCCTGCTTTCCATTTCCATCTGCCTAGTGGGACAGCCCGTTCCTTTATGCTGACCCTCCTGGTGCTGACCTGCTTGCTTAGGCTCCTCTTAGTGTCTGTGGCTGTGCTCTTGTGAATTCAGGTTCTTTTTCTTGTCCCCTGCTGCTGGGATCACCGTGATAAGTTTCTGAAGTTCTGGATCCTGGCCGTTGCTACTCACCCTGCCGTGCCTGGCCGCTTGCCCAGACACACTGTGTGCCCGGAATCCAGTGTGTCGCAGGACTGTTGGCCGCTCTGTCCTGTCAGCACTTCATCATGACCTAAAAGGGGACAGAGTAAGCCTGCCAGTCGATGTAAGGTGACCTGCAGCGGAGACAATGATGATGAAAAGTTGGCTCATGGAGTTAGGTAGTGAAGATGCCTGCAAGAGTAGCGAGCTGAAGTCTCAACAAGGTGGAATGTGGCTGACCCCAAAACCATGAGATCGAGGGAGCTGAATGCAGAGTTTGCTCCCTAGGTTCAGGATCTATTCCCCTGGTCCAGGGCTGGGAGTACCTGGGATCTGGGACCCCGAGGGCCTCGGGCTGGCTGGGAGCCCACGCAGCCCAAGTTCGCCTGAGGTCAGGACGCCTGAGGGAGGAGGAGGGGTCTGCTGGGTCCGCACCTGGTAGCCCACCGCTAGTGGCTGCATTAAGTTCCATTTTCGTGGGAAAAAGAGTGAGACTCATGGAGTGTGTGTTGATTTTGATTTTGAGACTGTGGGAAACGTGCCATATGACGATGTTCAGGGCCATCATAGCAGGCTCAACGTGTGACCCGGAGGGCAGAGCCGGGACGCGCAGGAGACAGGCCTCACCCAGGGGAGGCACGGATGGCGCTTCAGAGGGGAACGGTGCTCGCTGCACAGAGGGCGAAGCTCTCTGTCACCTTAGCTTTTCAGGGAGCCCTGAAGTGGTCATCCTGTGGGGACACTTTGGAAGAATTTCTGCAGTAAATGTTTCTGAGTCTGAATTTACCACATGAACAGTGTGACACAGAATCAAGATGCATGAAACCCAGATGTCTAGAATCGCGGGGCTTCTCACAAGGAACCCTACATTAAAAAGAAAAAAAACGGGGTGTGGGTAGTAATTAGGTTTATTTAATGGCGGTACTGGGGATTGAACCCAGGACCTCGTGCATGCTAAGCACACACTCTGCCACTGAGCTATCCCTACCCCTCTGAAGCCTACATTTCTTGCAGTATAAGTGGTGGTTCTTTAAGGAAATAGATTTAAAGTGTTTCTTCCTCTATTAGAAAATCAGGCAAGATATAATAATGTGGCCCTAAAGGTGCTTTGTCAGGCAGTTAGTGTGCACCAGTGAATTCATCCTGGGTCCTTTGTTTTACACTGAGCTGCTTTGGTTGGTTAAGTCTTGAATCAGTTTTGCTGCCCCTTCCAGGAAAACGTCTCTTGCAAGACTGAGTGTCTGAAAATTTCACTTTCACACAGTGAAACGATTACAGGCTAATATGTGCCTTGGTAGTTTCTTTCATCTCTCTGCATAGTGTGAAAAGAAGAAATTGAATATGCTGGAAGGTCCTTCACTGTAATAACAATAATACCAATTTACTGAAGAAAATTTAAAACTACAGAAGAGTAAACAGCGGAAAAGTGTCATCTGCAGTTCCACCTCCCAGAATCAAAGGAGTAGACTTACTGATACTTGTCTTCATTTTTTTTCTGTACGTTACCAAAAAAATGGGGTCATTTACTTTTTTCCCAGCTGAGCAATATCATAAGCGTATTCCCATGCCATCAACAGTTCTTTGTAAGTGGCACTGTTGTAATGACGGTGGCGCTTTAATTTACTTCATATTTTCCTGGTGGTGAATGTTTTTGTGTTTTCAGTTTTTCCTTAGTATAAGAAACAGTGAAATGAGCTCTTTGTACTTAGATCTTTGTGTGCATATCTGACTTTCCTTAAGCTAGAATAAATGAGTAGATAGATACTAGCTTTTGAAAGGCTCTTAAAGATGCAGTAAAACCTTGTAGCAAGATTACATCAGCTTAAAGACTGAAAGGCACTTGCGCAACAGGCATTACGGGGCGCCTCTGTTCCTGGGGACCTGGGCGTTAGCCGAGAGCCGGGCAGGGCATCTGTGCAGGCCATCTGGTGTAAGACATGGTGTCTGTCCCTCCTTTGAGCGCTCGGCTCGTACCAGCCAAGGCCAGCGGGTGCCAGTCTCAAGTCCGATCCTGGTGTTCTTACAAACCTCGCAGGAGCAGATGCGGTCGCTACAGGTCACTATGCACGAACTTCCCTGGAAGATGAAGAGGTTTTCCAGCAGAAGCACATTAAGAGGCCAGAAGGGCTTTTCAGAAATCGATTTGAAATTAGAAATGGTAAGTAAAAGCGCCTGGGTCAGAGCTTAATTATCCATGAACAGCGTGGGCTCTTTTGAAGGATGGCAGTGGGCTGTGTGAGCCCAGACTCCTCTCTGTGAGTCCCAGACTAGCTTGCTGGTTTTGGTTTCCTCTTCGGAGAAGGACAGTTAGTGGAAGGGTCATTTCCCCCGAGGGTTCTGATTGGTAACAGGAGGAGACCCAGCCGGTGCCTGGGGAAGGGCTGGTGGGGACTGAAGCCAGAGCTCGCGGCCCGTCTAGATGCCGTGCACGGGTAACGCAGAGGCTTCCGCGGTGTTTGAGAGAATGTGTGTCAGTCGTAACAGGAGTGGCAGGCACTCGGGCGTCTGACCGCGTTGGCACGGGCTTTGTTCTGGGTAGTTGTTCTGACGATACTGCAGTGTCTTTGTTCTCTGGGTGTGTTCTAGGCATCTGGAAGTTTTATTTTCCTTACTCAGTTGCCCCGGTGACCTGGAGTAGGGCCTCCTGGCCTGGGTCCTTGGGGAGAGTGCACATGGGCAGCAGAGCCAGCCCCGGGTTGGCCGGCCCTGAAGCCCTGGGCCAGTGTCCTCGCCTGTCCAAGTGGCAGGTGGCACCCTGGCTGGCCCGGAGGTGTGAAGGTTTGGCATCAGGCTCCTGGCACAGGCCGATCTCCCCAGTGGGCAGTCCTGTCCGTGGTCTAGGGTGGCCTGATTGCCTTGATAAAAATCATAGATTTTGAGTTTGTTTTAAAATAACTCAGAACTTTGAGAAATTGCAAATTGCCCCCGTATTCTGAGGCTTTTATACACACTTAACACTGTTTGACTGAATTTAGTTTTAAAACAAAAAATAGCATTTTGCAAATGACTCTGCCAACCTGATGACTGGTTGACTGAACTTTGTTTTTCTCTTTTCGATTGATTTTTGCTTTGTGCATAAAAAGTGGTGAAGTCAGTTTCCAGCTCTGCCGGTGCCTTTGCCTGCATGCACCATTGTGGGCAAGTCACTTTGATGAGCCTCAGTTTCCTCGTCTGTGAAATGGGGATAATTCTATCATAGGGCTTAGCCCAGGATGTGCGACACGTGGAAAGAACCTGTAACACTAGCACAGTGTCCAGTTTTCTCCGCTGGTCCCTGAACTTCAGAGCAGGGCACCCAGGGTCTGTGGTCGTGAAAGTTGTGTCACATGCCAGGCAGGACTGAGCAGGCCCGGAGACAGAGCCGGACCTTCTTTTCTGAACAGCATTCTGTGTTCAGAGTCGGTCACACCTCTGCACCGCTGCCGGAGAGCCGGTGTGGGTCTTTGCAATGACCTAGGAAGTGAGGGGACCTGCAGGGGGCACCTGACACATGTCCGCTTGGGCTCCACAAAACCCCGCCTTTGCTGAGAACGGAGGCATTTAGAGGCCAAGTGCTGCTGGGGTGGGGCACAGTCCGTCCCCGCCGGTGGAGCCTGGCAGGTTGAGAGAGTCCTCGAGAACACTCGGGCCACGGGCACGTCCCGTGGTTGTTAGAAAACAGCGCCGCTTACACTGTTCCGGCCCAGTTTTCTGTAACTTGTCTCATCCACTTTCCCCAACTGTGGCTGGATTTGTTTTTTTCTTATCACCTTGTAACATTTTTTGTAATCTTTGAAAATACTGCAGTCAGGCGTGTGAGCTGGAATCAATGTCCTCGTTACATGAGGGCTCCTTCCTGGTTTTCTTTTCAACAGTAGGTAAATTAGGGCTGAGTTTTTCTTACCTTACCCACGGCGGTTCTTTTTTCTGGAAATCTGCTGTTTCTTGTCGATCTTTGTTTCTGCCAGACCGGGGTGGGTAATCGATCAAAATACACAGAAGGACGTCATTAAAAGCAAAGTGTCATTATTTTTATGCCTGCAACGTCTTTTGTTCTTTGCTCTTGGCAGCGGTAAAACTTCTCCAGGCAGCTGACAGCTTTAAAGACCAGACCTTCTTTCTCAGCCAGGTTTCCCAGGATGCCCTGAGGAGAACCCTCTTCCCTCTGGGGGGATTAACCAAAGATTTTGTAAAGAAAATAGCTGCTGAGAATAGACTTCATCATGTGCTTCAGAAGAAAGAGGTAGGATTGAGGGGTGTGCGTGCCCACATGCACCGTCTCCACGGTCGGGGTCAGGCAGTGTTTCCTGCCCCGGGATCTAACCCGGGGAGGGCCTGGGAAAAGCACCTGGAGGAGCTGGCCCCTCCCGCACACAGTGGGAGGTGCTGTGGCATTCAGAACTCAGCTGAGAAGTGACTTTCCCGGCAGCCTGGCAGCTCACTGGGATGCCCTGGGCTCAGCTGCCAGGTGAGAGCGGGGCGGTACGGACCGGGCCCCCAGACGCCCCGCTGGCACCTGGATCTTCTGTGTCCGCCCACGCGTCTGCCCAGCCTCGTCAGGTGCGTCCTCTGGGCCCGGCTCTGTGCTGCTGGCCTCTGCGGATGCGGTGAGGAGCACAGTTTCGTCCCTGCCTTCGCAGAGCTGAAGTCCGGGGTAGGGGGCAGACAGACAGACAGACCTACCGTCGTAAACTTAGAGGGGTTTTTGAGAGAAGGTACAGGACCCGGTGAGAGAAGAGGCCGATGGCTCTCATTTAGAGATGGGCGCCAGGAAAGGCCTGCGAGGAAAGTGTGTTTACCCTCAGGCCTCGGGGGTGAATGGGGTGTAGTGTTCCAGGGACGTCGGGGGTAGGGGCTGGCGTGCCGGTGGAGTTGAGGTGAAGCCAGTGTGGTGGGGGCTTGGAGCTAGAGGAGGGGTGTGATGGGGTCCCAGTGAGCGCGGCACTCCCTGGGGTGCTCGGTCTGGCCGGGCCATGTCGGGGTGAGGCCAAGTGTCCTCCGGGTGTGGGCAGGGCTGTGCCTTTGTCGGCAAGTCGTCATCCCCAAGGAAGACCCCCGCACCCGTCCCTCCCACGTTGTCTTGTTCACCTTCTTGGGTTGGGAGTGGCCTGGCGCTGCTTACGTAGCTGGCGAGGTCCGAGTCTGGGGCCTGGAATAAGCCCCTCGAGGTCTATTTGTGGCTGTGACTGGCATCTGGTGTTGAGGAGAAAAGCCAGGCCCCTGGCCCAGAGGGCAGGGAGGTTCAGGGCGGGGGAGGCACACGGAGGCCCTGCCTCCCCGACTCCGGCGGGACTGAGTGGAGCGGCTTCCTGTCCTGGTGCCGGCCGTCCCGTCTAACGGTCGGCCTCCTTCTTGTTCCAGAGCATGGGCATCTGTTTCGTTGGTAAAAGAAATTTTGAAAATTTCATCCTCCAGGTAAGTGTTCTTTGATGGAAAGGGATGGAGTCACGTTTCTGCGCTGGACCTGGATCCATTAATAACGAAGCATTTGTTTTCCAGTATTTACAGCCTCGACCTGGTAAATTTATTTCTATAGAAGACAGTAAAGTTCTGGGAACGCATAAAGGTGAGACGCAACCTTGGGCTGCTTTTCATGCTAAGCTCCTGAGTCCCGGGCGAGTTAGAGCGCTGGGAAACTTGGACAAGATGCTGACAGTCCTTTCCGCGGCGGCCCGTGAGCAGAGACCGCCGGGAGGGGTGCGCGTGGTGACAGGGAGGGCGGTCGTAGCTGTGACTAGGGGGTGTGTTTTGAGACGCGGTCCCGTTTTACACGTTGCGGCTAACAGAAGAGGACTTCGTCTGGTTCAGGCCGACTGCACTCTGAGTCCTGTGTTACGTCCCTGTGCGTAGAATTGTTTTCCATTACATGAAGGCAGTGCCAGGCTGCAGAAAAAGTCCATCCTGATGAAGGGAGTTAGGGTGATCTCAGAGCATGAGTGTCATGATTTTGGACAGCGTGAAGAGATGGGATCAGAAGGTGGCCCTCCCAGCCCGGGTGCTGCTCCCTCCTCCCAGATGGCTGTGGGGTGGGGGCACCGTGAGCCTGCACTGGGCCTCGTGGGAAGGAGGGGACAGGGACAGAGATGAGGCAGGCGCGAGAGTCCACAGCCCAGGTGGGAGGACAGAGGTGGGGTCGGTGGGCAGTGGGGCTGTGCCCTCGGAGCTGATGGTCCAGCGAGGGTCTGACCTGCCCGCAGGGCGGGGCTGGTGCTCAGCCCTGGATGCCTCCTCCTACCCTGGGGCGTGTTTCTTGGAGACGCCCCACCTTGGTTTGGGCCAGGTGGCTTCCCCTTCCTGTTACTGTTGAGGGCAGTGGGGGTCCCAGAGAGCCGAGTGTTCCTGAGACAGGAGGAGGCGACAGCCCTGCTGGGCAGGACTGTGGGGGCTCCCAGCCTGTCCCCAGTGGGAGGCTGTCAGAGGACGCAGGGGAGCTTGGACACCTCGATTCCGCCAGGGCCTGTGCTCATGTCACCCACAGGGTGGGGATGTCTGTGATGGGGGTGGGGGTGCACAGAGGCAGTTGGGAGGAATTGGCACAGACAAATCGGGGCAGCCCTGATGTCCTGCCCTGAGGAGGTTGGTACATGGTGGGGGAGGGCGTGCCTGTGAAAGTCACAGGCGCATCAGGGGCTCAGCAGGAGGGCTCGTGGCTTTAACGCAGGGCACTCGGCCCACTTTCTAAAGGAGTTGTCCCTGCTCCTTGTGGCTCAGGCAGCCCCACAGCTGGAACTGCTCCTTGCGTTGTGTGGGGTACAGCCTAACCCAGCTGCCTCTAGTGGTTCAAAGAGAGCCTCCTGCCTGCTCCACCCACCCTCCTCCCCATCCCACGGGTGTGCTGTTTGAGATGGGGCTCACTCCCGCCTCACCGAGAAACTATTTCCATAGGTTGGTTCCTGTACACTTTGGGCCAGAGAGCCAAGATAGGGGGCTTACGCGAGCCCTGGTACGTGGTGGAGAAGGACGGCACCAAGGGTGATGTGCTGGTGGTGAGTCAGGCCGGCCGTGTAGACAGATGGGGGAGGTCCGGTTCTCGGTGCTGAGACCAGGCAGGTGGCCGGAGGGGCCACAGAGCAGCAGTGACGGTGCGACGTCCTCGCCTTTCCCCTGCGCCCTCCCGGGGTCGGCCTGGTGCTTCAGTGCCGGGAGGAGTTTGTTTAAGGGGCTTATTAGGCTTCCTGTGTGCTGCTCACACAGTTAGTCATCACGCTAGTTCCTAGTAAGTTGATTTTATGAAAGAGGACAAGACCCAGGGTTTAAGGTCCAGTGGCGTGGAGGACGCTCCAGTGCCTTGGACAGAGTGTGCACAGAGTAGGCTCCAGCAAGTCACCACTGAGCGGGGGTGGGGGGTGGCAGAGCCAGGGCCAACCCAAGATGTCTGCCGCAGTGGGGCCCTGAGCTGCTGGGCCCCAGGACTGTCCCCATGCTCTAGAGCAGGACTTCACAGACGGGGCGGGCTTCCCCACTTTGCTCCCCCAGGGACCTCTAGCAACGTCTGGGACATTGTTAGTGTCACAGCAGGGGGGCGGGTGGGGGGGGACAGGGGCCGCTGGTACTTAGTGGGTGGAGACCAGGGAGCCCCCCATCCCATGACAGAACCTGAATGGTGCAGCCCAGACCTGAATGGTGCAGAGAGCCCAGCTCAGCGTGCTCGGTCCCAGAGCCAGGGACCTTCTCTTAGACACTAGCAGAAGGGCTGGAGCTCACTTGCTGGTTCTGGGACGTCTCCTTCCCAGAAGAGCCGTGGGTGTGAAAGCCTGGATGGCGATTGTGGGGTCAGGCGTGAGCCGCAGTGACTGTGGTATAGAGCAGAGCGGTCTCTTCTGCTTTGAGGGGAAAACAGGAAGGTCGCCCCCGACAGCTGTCCCTGTGGGGCTCCCTGTCCGCTAGAACCCACAGGACCTGCCTCGGGGAGGCACTGGGTCCGAGGAGGCCCCGGAGAGCTGGCACCAGCCCTTTCCTCTAGTAGCCCTCTCCCCAGACACTTGGGGCTCCATGGGATCCCCGCAGTGGCCTTGCGTGGCATCCCTATGGAGGCGTGGCTGGCCCGTGTGCCCCTGGTGCTGGGCGGGTGACTTGAACTTGGAGGAGGGGTGAGGTCATGGGCCGGATCACATACCCCTCTGCTGCTTGCTGAGTGTGACCGTGATCAGTGACTTTCCCTCTTGTGCCTTAGTTTCCTCTTATGCAAAGTTGGGGTGCAGGCCGTGGGATAAGCACGTGCGTGTCCACATGTCAGTGCAGCTTCCATTAGTGAGTGCTGGCTGTTACAGTCCTTAGTAATGAAGTGCAGTGAGGGGGCTTTGGGGCGGGGGACCCTCTTCTGAGGGCTCCAGAGCGTCACGGCCTTGCCTTCCGCTCCGCAGGCCCCCCGGACAGACCACCCGGCCCTGTACAGGGACCTGCTGCGGACCGGTCGCGTGCACTGGATTGCAGAGGAGCCGCCCGCAGCCCTGGTCCGAGACAAGATGATGGAGTGCCACTTCCGGTTCCGCCACCAGATGGCGCTAGGTGACTGAGCAGGGCGTCCCGGCCAGGGGTAGGGGAGGCGGTCAGACCCGGGCAAGGTCCCCGTCGTTCAGACCGTAGAACACACCAAACCTCCTTCCCTCTGCCTGCTCGGGAGCCAGCCCTGGGAGGTGCTGAGGCCAGCTCAGCCTCCTTTGTCTGTGATGCAGGGAGGGTCTTGGGAAGAGGGTGCTGGGGTGAGGGTCCAGGCTGTAGTGTGTGCTGCCTGTACGCCCAGCAGGCGGCGCTGGGCCCCTCTGACTGGCCCTGAGCTTCCGTAGTTCCCTGCTCCTTCCTCCCAGGAGCCCGAGGCCTGGGGCTGAGCACACTTGGCAAGGCCTGTGCCCTCCTCCAAGGGTCCTTCTCTTCACCCAGTGCCCTGTGTGCTGACCCTCAATCAAGATGGCACCGTGTGGGTGACGGCGGTGAAGGCTGTGCGGGGTCTCACCCTGGGACAGGTGAGGGGGCGCCGGCTCTGCGCTGTGCTCCAGAGGGTATGGGATGCCACACCGAGTCTGAGTCTGCGTGTGGCCTGGACCCCGGCTCTTCTTAGCGCTTGCTCAGCCTGTGCGCGGGGTCCGGCTTTGCTGTGGAATGACAGCATCGCACTTCCTTCTCCCCAGAGCACATGGTCTGCATCGAGGGGCTTGGGGGCAGGTGGGGTGTGGGGGCTCAGGTCACACAGCCAGTGACGGGGGGAACTGTGGCCAGCTCTGTGTCGGTGCCCCTTCTCTCCCGACTGCTGTGGCCATGAGGCTGTACTGGTGCAGCCACTGGGAGGGCCCGGCTGCCTGTGGGCTGGGCCCTGAGGACGAGGACAGAACAGGGACAGGCAGAGCATTGCTTCCCACCTCCACCCTAGACCAGCAGCCGCAGGTCGGGCTCCTTGCTACTCTGCAGGCCCCCGGATGCCAGGTCCGCCTACAAGTGACACAGCCCCTCTCCTTTCCAGTTTGCCGTGTTCTACAAAGGGGACGAGTGCCTGGGCAGTGGGAAAATCCTGCGCCTGGGGCCGTCCGCCTACACACTGCAGAAGGGCAGGAGCAGAGCCGGAGTGACCACGGAGGGCTCTGGCGACGGCCACGGCAGTCGCCCAGGCCTGGGTCCCACACGCTGATGGAGGCTGAGTGGCTGCTCTGCTGCAGAGCTCGCGAGAGGACGTGTCGGGGGCAGGGCCTGGGGCTTGGCTGCTGCTGCCAGAACCTGCCGCCCCGGTCCCGACCAGGCCGGACAAGGTTCTGAAGGCCTCCAGGGCAGGGACGGTCCGTCTCCTCCCCTTGCTGGCTGGTGGGTCTGTCCCAGGCGCCCCATTTAGCGAGTTCCTCTTTCACACCCCCAAGAGGGTTTCCCACCAGGAGGACACAAAGCGGACCAGGGGCGGGGTTGTGTGGGCTGCAGGGACGGCATCCAATAAAAGTTGTGTCTGGAATGTGAACTCTGACGGCGGCCTCCAGTGGGGTAGAGGCCCGGGCAGGTGGTCTCAGGGGCTGCACGGCGCTGGCCTGCCCGACCGTGCGGACACACACGTCGACAGCACGAGACAGCGACGGAACCCCCACGCTCCTCGCCCCTCCGTTCACAGCTGTGCCCACCACCTGTGGCACGGGACGGACCTGACGGGCCTTGAGCCGAGGCCCAGCCTCCTAGGTCACACTCAGTGTGTCTGCTGGGGAGGGGATCTGGAGCCCACCCTGAGGGGCGGCCCCCCTCCGTCTGCATGGCTGCGTCGAGACCACCCCTCCCCTGCAGAGTGCCCAGCACCTGGCCACCCACGTGAAAGCTGCAGGACTGCAGGGGCCTTCGCTCACGGAAGGATCAGAGGTGGGAGACTGACTGGAGCACGTGCACGTGTCTGAGTCTGTTTGGGCTGCTGTGACAAAATACCCCGGACTGGGTGGCTTAGAGACAGCAGGCGCTCATTTCTCACAGTTGTGGAGGCTGGTGTCTGAGATCAGGGTGCCAGCTCAGTTGGATGAGGGTCCTCTTACGGGTCACTGATGGCCGTCTTCTCACTGTGTCTTCACATGGTGGAAGGGGTGAGGCCCTTCTGGGACGTCTTGTAAGCACACCAGTCCCATCCATGAGGGCTGGCTCCGCCTCCCAAAGGCCCCACCCCCTAACGCCATGACGGCAGACAGCAGGATTCTAACCTGTGCATCTCGGGACACAAACACTCGGACCGTTCAGTGCACGTGCATGTGTGCACAGGTGTGTCTTGTGGGGAGAGGGTGGCTCTGCCTGGCAGATGAGAATGCAGACAGACCTTCAGAGCTGGCGTTGGCTGGGGCATTTTGGTCTCCACGGAGTCCCGGGGTGACCGCTGTCCTGCTGTCGGCGATTGAAAGGCCGGCTGGACTGGGAGGCGGGATGTTTGGAGACGCTCAGCTCTGCCTGCCCCTGCTTGTCCTCGTGGGCTCTGTGCTGCGGGAGGAGCTATCACCCAGCTCAGGCGGGAAACTGGCCTTTCCTAGGAGGGCCCGAGTCTGCATGCCCCACTGCCACAACTCCCCAGCCCCTGGGCCCAGCCGCCTGCTCTGGGCGCCAGGACAGGTGAACCTCAGGCTCCCTTCCTTTTACTGGCCTTATACCCAGCACCTTCTTGGTTCTTCAAGCCAGGCTTCTGTGGGGGTTTGAGGTGTGGTTCCCTGCCTCCTGTGTAGAAGGTTCTAGAGCAGAGGCAGCAGAGCCTCTGATGGGGGAGCTCCTTGGGAGAGACTTTTCCAAGGGCGGGGGGCGTGCGGAGCTGTGTGCCTCCCTGCCCTCCGAGGCTCAGGAGCCCCTGGTGCTGGGGGGCTGAGCTGCAGGGCCAGCTCTGGGTTGAGGCACCCCAAGTCAGAACCCCCCCAGGCCGGTCACACAAGGAGGAGCCCAAAGTGGGTGACGGGCACCTCACCTCCAGTGTGCAGGGCCTGGGAGCCACAGTGAGGACTGGGTTCCCTTCTGAACAGGAGGGGAGGCCTGGGGAGTGGCGGATGTGGTTGAGCGAAAGATCACTCAGGCCTGTGTGAGGTTCAGATGGAGGGCACGGGGGGCCCAGGTGGGCTGTGGAGGGTTGAACCAGGTGACAGCAAGGACATGGTTGCACTTGGAAAGTCAGACAAAGTGGGTCAGGGAATGGACCACTAAGCCCTTTGTCCTGACGCTGTTGGTTGGGTGTCTCTGCTCACCCTGGTCTGCAAAGTGGGGTGTTGTCCAGAGTGGGAGGGGGTCCAGATGCCCTTGGTTCTTCAGCGAGTTTGGATCAGGCTGGGCCCCATAGCTGGCTTAGTGGGACCCTGTGTTGGGGTGACAGGCTGTGGTGTGGGGGAGCTTCCAGAGCTGCGCCAGCCCCCACTGCACACCCCCACCCAGTGCTGGACGGAATCGGCCCCAGCTCAGTGGTGTCCAGTCCTAGAGCAGCACGTAGACTCCCACTCTGCAGTGGGGCCTGTGAGGGGTCGGGGGACAGGACATGGACCCTGCCCTGCCAAGTGGGCAGACCGCATGAGGAGGAGGACGCATCTCAGGAGGGACTGAGGGTCCCGGCCCGACCTGCACCAAGAGCCCCCATGTGGCCGGGGGCCTGCGACAACCGAGCTGTTAGAAACACATAGCTGGTGGGGAGTGAGGGCCGGCGCCCAGAGCAAAGCGTCTTCCTCCCACGCCCCTGTGACTGGAGGAAGCCCCAGTCTAAAGAGCTGAGCCCCTCACGTCCCTCCCCTCCCGCTTCCCAGGCCCTTGCCCTCGGCTCACTCCCACCTGAGGCCCCACCCAGCAGGACGCTTCCCCAAGCGTGGGGAGTTGGCCCAAGCGGCCCACCCTGCCACGTGGTCTCTGAGACGGTTCCTGTGATCCAGATGCAGAATTAGTCCCAGCGAGGTAGGGGGCTTGGGCTGGGCGGCTGCCCCTGCGCAGGTGCATGCTCCCGCCAGGCTGGACGAGGGAGGCCCTGCTCTGCACGGCCGGAGGCAGACGGCAGCCTGGCACCTGCTCTCCACGTTGTGCTGGGCTGGGGGAGCCAGACAGGCCAGCAGTGCCCCTGGGGACCCTCTGCCTAGCGTGGCGGCCAGGCTGAGACACCGCCTTTGTTCTGCCTTCTCGAAGGGCAGCGCAGAGCCTCCCTGGGCTTAGGTTCCCCTGATCTATTGCCCTGGTGGCTGGGCCCCTCGCCTGGGTACAAGGTCTGAACTGTGGACCCGTGGAGGAGCCTCCGTGGTGGGAGGAAGGGCGGCCAGGGGGAGGTCGGCTTGGGCAGGGGCCAGCGGAGGGGAGCCCACCCTTCTAGCCTCTGGCCGGCTCTGTCTGTCCTGCCAGCCCGTTGCCAGGCCTCCAGCCAGGATGACCAGTGGATGTAGGTGGGAGGAGGGGGCACAAAGCTGCCGCTGCCCCTCGGGGCACCAGGCCTCACCCGTGGCTGGTGCCCTCGGCATCCTCCTGCCTGGCAGTGCTATAGTCTCTCTGGGGCACAGCCGCCTCCCGTGCCACTGGGTGGCTCTGGAAGGCCTCTGGGCAATGCCTCAGATTTAGCTGCAGCTGTCGGCCAGGGGGCGCCTTTGAGCTGAGTTCGTTGGCTGGGACTCTGGCCTCTCCCCACTCCCAGCCCAGCCCAGCCCAAGCACCTGGGGCCACCCGACTCCAGGGCAGTACCCTCCAGGGGACCTTCAGAAGACCCACTCAGGCCGAGACATGGATGCGCTTCCCCGCTCCTGCCCCGACGGGCACCTGGCTTCCAGGGCCCCGTCACCCTCACCCGGGAGGGAAGGGCCCAGGGCTGGGTGCCTTGAAGGCACCCAGCCCTGGGACCTTCACACACCTCCTCCCGGCTCTTGATGTGAACCACGCGCTGCCCCCTCTGCCCACATCGTTTCCAGAGCGTCGCAGCAAGAGCCCAGAGCTGCTCGCGCTTCACACCCAGAAGGCTCTGGCCCGAGGCCCTGAGTCGGTGTCAAACCCCTGGGGCTTGTCTTCTGTCCCCTTGGGCTCCAGCTGCCTTATGTCCACGTCCCAGGAAGCCTTCCCCACCCTCCGCACACCCCCCACCCCCCACCCCCTCGGGTGTCTTAGTAAACCTCGTCCAGAGGGAGGGGGTCCCGGATTGAGGCTACAGCTGTGATGCGAAGGAGCCATTACACCTGCAGCGGGGTTGGGGGCAGTTTGGATACTTTTGTGGCCTGGACAATGTTTAGATATTCCGTGTTCACACCTGTGTTTTTGTCTTGATCCCGGGAGGTCCCAGAGCGGCCGTGTCTGAGGTTGGTGTTGAGTGCAATTACCTGTGTCCCCGGGACGACCGCCAGGCCAGGCGGGTGCGCCTGCTCCCCTCCGCCGGGGGCTGCGCTCCTTCCCCAGGGCTTTCCCGTTAAGCGCTGCTTCTGAGTCGAGGGAGACGTATTCGCTCACGGCCACGCCTGAGCGCTGTGCGCGGTGACCGCTAGCAGGTGGACTGCGTTGGAAGCAAAACCTGAAGAATGGCCTTTGGGGGTGGGGTGTTCGTGGGTGATTTTTTTTTTCCTTCCTAGACTTGACCCAAGGCTGGCCCCATCTCTGGAGCTGTGTGGCCACACTGGGGCAAGGGCTCCAAGAGAGGCCTGAAAGGAGGGGCCCTGGGGGCTGAAGAGTGTGGGGGATCCCCACTGTTTTTGCTCCCTTAATTTTCCCCAAAGGTGCCGCAGTTGGGTGGAAGTGTGAGGTGGTGCAGGTGGCTAGAACTCTGGAAGAAACCTGTCTTCCTGGACAGAGGAGCCAAGAAAAGGGGCCCCAGAAGTTGGAGTGTTGAAGGCAAATCCCAGGGGGGAGACAGCGGCAAAGTGGACCCCAGCTTCCATGTGAGCTGCCAGTGCCACTCGCCTGCATCGTGGGTGTACGGAACAGACCCCAAACAGCACATCAGAGGCTCTGTGAGCAGGGCTATGACATAAAGTGCCCTGAGTCCCAGACTCGCCGAGCGGCAGGTCTGCAGGGCGGAACCAGGGCAGCACAGCAAAGTCACGGCTCACGGAAGGTGAGACAGAGCTTGTGGTCTGAATGTAACTGGGCTGACTGCCTGATAAAACAGGCAAGAAGCAACACCTGCCTCGGGCTCTCAGCAGGCCCCAGAGTCTCCCAGCGTAACATTCAAAACGTCCATCGAGGATTCAGTTTGATCCTTGAAATCAGTCAGCATTCAAAGAACCAGGAAAATGCCGAGAGAAAAGAAAACAGAGTCAGCCCCAAGATGACCCAGATGTCCAAATTATCAAAGAATTTAAAGCAGCTGTTATAGTCATATTCTGTGAGGTAAACACTTGAAATTCATGGAAAGCCAGAAGTCTTCAGCAGAGAAATAAAAATGATATAAAGGAACCAAATGGAAATTTTAGAACTTACAGTATTTGAAGTTAGAAAAAAAAAACACTGGATGGGGCTTAATACCAGACAGAGAAAATTGAGGAAAGAATCAGTGAACCTGAAAACTGATCACCAGAAATGGTCAAATCTGAAGAACAGAGAGAAGAATGGAAACAGATGAACAAAGCCTCGGGGACCTGGCTAACATTCGTGTCCCTGGAGCCTCAGGAGGACAGGGCAGAGACATCGGTGCGGGGAGAAAGAATTAAATGCTGGCTAATTTAATTAGCCATTAATATTAATAAATATTATTAATTTAATAATAACTGGGTGAAAGAAGCAAACTTCAAGGTTTCAGAAAACCCCAGATAGGGCCTGCTCACCCCGACTGTTGCAGGCCCGAGGGAGAAAGAACAGAAAGTTCCAGAATGATCCCAGTTCCCCCGGGCTGGTCGCTGGCATCCTATGCGCGGTCCCTTTCCCATGGCTGCCTTGGGGGGGGGGGTTAGAGAATCAGCACAGCAGAAGTACAAATTCAAAAATCTTAATTTATTGTAGACTCTCTTCCCATTTGTGTTGTGATTCCAGTGTTCTGAACATCAATAAATACACATTTGTTAAAAAAAACCCTCCAGTGTCTAGTAGCTCTCTCTCAAGTCACAAAAATAGGTTTACATTTTTCCTGTCTTAATAAAAACGACAATTGTTTTTTGGTAACAGGTCTGGTCAAATTAAAAACTAAATGCACCTCAAGGGGCAAAACCCAGTTGCAAAAGAATAAAGGCTGATACGAATGTGGAGGGGTCAAAGACTCAAAGAGATGACCACCTCCCAACTTAGAAAGCGTCTCCTCAGCGGTAAACCCTGGAAGGCACTATTACTTTGTATTTTCAAAAGGCCGGTCACCTGCTAAGGCACATTTATAATTCATTCAGGTGCGAGGGCTCTGGGATCCCATTTCGTGTGTGCGAAGCGTGTGGCCTTAGACCAGCGTCGTGAGGCAGCGCCCTCAGTCCCTGGCAGCACGCGCACCTGCATCAGAAAGCACGGTGTGGAATCTTTGCACGTTGCTTGGTTCCCATCCTGACTTATAGTTTCTCATATTTGGAAGCAGCTGTGCTGGCAATTTATTTGGGTGCCTGACTGAAGAACGAAAGAAACACTGAAACTAAAACGTGTCTGAATAACTCTGGGCCCCGCTCCACAGCCCCTCAGGCCACACTGTGCCAACTGCCCACAGAGGGACGGTCACAGCCGGTCCTTGGTGTGAGTTTCCAAAAAACAGCTTGGTAACCATTGAACAGCGTGGCTGTGGCTTTGTCCCTTCACACAATTGGCCATTTGAAGCAAAATGAAGTAATTGGTCAGATTCTGGAGGTGGGACCCCCGCCTGCCTGGAGATCCCCAGAGTCTCAAAGAGCTAGAAAATTGGCAGGAAGGAACGTGACATCCTGGAAGACCTCATACCTCCGTCTGAATCGGGAACGTGTGAACACTGTAAAACCCTACCGCGAACAGGCGCAGCGGCACAACGGAACTCCCCACCTGCAGGACCACCGACCGGGAAGGGGGCCAGGCGGCCCTGCAGGGCCCAGAGTGAGGCCCGCTGGGGGGGGGGGCGGGGGTGTTGGGACGGCGGCGGCGGCCGTGTGCACCTGCGTCCTGCGCTGACCGCAGCAGAGCTCCGTGAGTCCTGCCCGGTCCCAGACCGCCTGTCTCGGAGCACACCCGCCAGGCAGACGGGAGCAGAGGCTAAGCATCTCTGAAGCAAATGGGCTGTGCTTCAGACAGCCACACGTGGTGCCCACGGGCTCCTGGCTCAGTGGCACAGGAGCCTCTGTCCAGCGACTTAGTTTCAACCTCACTCAGCCCTGTGCATTTCCCGCCTCTCAGCTGCTGGACACCAGTTGCGTTAATGCGGGCCAGACTCAAGGCCAACTGTGCAAGCTTCCTCGTATAAAAAATAGCGAGCGATCAGCCCACGGATCTCCCAGGATCAGCAGAGTCAGTACAAACGCAAAATATACAGAGCTTTTCGCCTTTTCAAAGTTCCATACAAATATACAAAAGTATCTACAGCTTTTCAACAAAGGAAGGGGATTTGCTTTCAGACAAGGGCCGCCTTTGCAGAGTTGGAGCTGCCGGCCCCGGGTCTGCATGCAGTGAGGTGCCTGCACAGGCAGTGGACCTCCGTCTCCGGTCTGTGCCCGCGGCCCTGGGTCCTGGCAAGCCGGCCTGGCGCTTCCTCTCAAGGCCGCTCTTGTGCTGGGTCCTGTCCCCGCTGGGCCCTGTCCCAGCCAGGACAGCGTGCAGTTCTGGCTCTGTCTGCAGTCTGAGGATTGAGCTGTGCTGGCTTGCGAGTCCACGCCTCCCATGGCCTTTGACACCTGTCATGGGGCCTAGTGGGCCCTGGGCCCTGGGGCCACTCAGGGCTTCGTGTCTGGACCTTCAGTCACGCCAGTCATGAGGCTGCCACGGTGGGAGCCCACGCCACCAGAGCCTGCTTCACTGAAAGGGCAGGGGCCCCTCAGGCTCCTAAGTCCAAGGGCTTGACAGCAGCACAGAGGCCTGGGTGGAGGTGACGTGCTTGTCTCACGGTTTCCTGACGGTTCAGATTGAAGTTTCATTACTGCCTCTGTGCGTGGGAAGAAGCCATCAGGCAGGTGGAGGGTCAGTGAGGGCAGCCCCTGCCACCTGTGCAGCCAGCAGCTGGGCTGGGTCCAAGGTCGTGCAGGGGCAGGACCCCCCCCACTCAAGGGGCAGAGGGCAGAGCCCCCGACTCGGGGGACAGGAGACGCCTGGAGGCTCCATGGAGGGCAAGCTCACGTGCGGACACAGCCACATTGGCAGGCAGGGCAGGGGTCGAGTGTACCCGACAACCAGGGCCACCTGGAGGGCCAGGCCCATCTGCACCTCCCCCACGAGACACGGAGGATCAAGATGAACAACCGAACTCCTCCTCTACGTTTTTAGGAAGGCTGTTCTAGGAGGCCTGGCTCCCAGTCTTTGCGCCTCCCCTGGACGTCTGTCTGTAAGAGGGTGGAGCTGTGGGGATCAGCAGGCGTGTCGGGAGCCGGATCCCAGCCCCACGTCTCTGGCAGGGCAACCCGAGCCTCAGTCCCGGGGCAGTAACGACCGTGGGCCAAGGAAACGATAGGTATAAAATGCTTGGTCCCATGTGGTCTTAAGTCCCAGAATTTCAGGGTTGGACCGGACTTAGGGCTCTGGTTGATTTAGCCCCTGGGACAGGAGTCTGACCCGAAGCAGAGGCCCTCTCCTGGGTGGGAGCCCACCGCAGCCCTGGGCCACCTGCCTGGGCCTCACTCTGTGCTCAGGCCCTGCCCACAGCCCCTCTGGACTGGGTGCCTGTCCTCTGGACTGGGGACAGAGGGGAGGCTGGCTGGGTGCCGCCCCCATGCCCCTCTTGCTGAGGCCCAGGCTACTCACTCAGAGCCGGAGCCGTGGGCCTGGGCGCTCCCAGCCCGCACGTTCATGGCCACCCCGTTGAGGTGCTCGCGCCCCGGCTCCCGGCATGGCGTCTTGATGGTGATGGTGCTGTCGGGGGCACGGATCCCGTCGCTGGAGCCCAGCGAGGATGACCTCGAGGATGCGGGGCTCTGCTCACATTCGGCCAGCTTCTCCCGGAGCCGGGACTTCAGTGTCTTCTCTGTCAGTGGTGGCGGGTAGGTGACTTTGTTTTTCAAGATCCCTGGCGGGAAGGGCAGATGGAGAAGGTCACAGCCAGGCTGCTGCTGCCGGGCGCAGTGGACTCAGGGAGGGACAGTCCCTGCGGAGATGGGGTCTCTGCTGCTGGTCTTCCCTCCGTGGGTCTCAGCCGAGGCGGCCAGCCCACAGCCACCTCTGCCCTGCCGGGCGCCACCCCAGTGCCCCACGGACCCCACCCCCTGTCTTGCACAGCCCGCTCCACCCCACCTCCGCCGTCCCTGTCCCTCATCCCCACCTCCGTCCCTCTCTTCCCAGACCAGGGGCTTCCTGGTCCCCCAGCTTCCGGGGGGCAGTGGGCCCTGGGCACCTTTTCTTTGCTCGGGGGGCTGGCTGGGCGGCACGCCTGTGGCCTTGGGTGGGCCCCCACTCTCCCGCTCGGGAACACGCTCGCTGCAGTGGTTGCCCTGCGGGTCCAGGTGCAGCTCCACGCTGACCTTGGTCTCCACCTTCAGGCACGGCTGCTCACCCGGCTCCTCACTGTCGCTCCCAGCCAGGGTCTCTTCGGGCCAGCCAGCCGGGATGTGGTTGGCCGCAGCGTCCACTGAGGCACAAGAGTGACCCTCAACAAGCAGGGAGCGCCGCCCTCTGGGAGCTGTGCCCCCTAAGAGGCCCCCTGTTGTGTTTGGGGTGGGGGCCGTGTATCCTGAGGGAAGCAGACCCCGCACTACCCGACCTGCAGGGCTGGCAGGGCCACACCCTCCAGGTAGAGACCCCAAAGCTCAGAGAGGGAAGGTCCGGGCCTGGGATCTCAGGCTGCAGAGCCCTGCTGCACCCCAACACCCGGGAGCCTCATGCTCCCTGCAGCAGGGGAGGTCAGCTTCCTGGAGTCCTTGCCGTGAGGGTCCCCGCAGGGCCACCCCAGGATGCTGCCTCCGCTTGTGGACGGTGAGCAGGGGGCGCTGTGCTGCTGCAGCGTCCGGCACGCAGGCCAGGCTGCCCCTGTGACCGGCTCACTCACCTTTGGGGGTGCTGTGGATGGGGCCCCGGGCTGGGTCCCACTTGTCCTCAGCCTCTGCCCCGTCGTCCTCACTGTCAGACGAGTGTGAGGAGGCGTACGAGCTGCTCTGCTCATCCAGGGACAGCTCACTATCCGAGTCTGAATCGTGGCCTGCAGGGTGGGCAGGATGGACGGGGCTCAGGCAGGGGCAGAGCGGAGCCACCTGGGCCCCAGGCAACGGCGGGAGTGGTCCCAGCGACCCTCTGCTCTCCGATAACAGGGAGGTGCCCCAGGCCAGATGAGAGGCAGGGAGCTCTCACCATGCCCCCCGCCCCAAGGAGACCACCCCCAAAGGGACACATACCGTGGGGCTTCTTGCTGCTCCTGGGGACAAAGGCCGAATCTGGCTCCCCGTGGCCGCCCCGCGCTGGCCCAGAGGACACGCTGAGTTTCTGGCCCCCTTCGTCCCTAGCGAGAGTAGAAGGGCAGCTCAGCACCACAGCGCGGGGCACCCCCTGCATGTGCCACGGCGGCCACATGGGGCTCTGGGAGGTCCTCTGCCACAAGACTCCCCGGGCACACAGGTAAACATGCATGAACACACGGCTCAGGGCAGAGGTGGTGAAGCCTGCATTTCCTCTGAAAGCTGGGCCCCCCCAGCCCCGTGACCACAGCAGGGGCGCCTGGCCCCAGCCTGACCTGACGGTGCTGTCCAGGGAGGCGGTGGACTCGCCCAGTGCTGTGCGGAACATGGCGGGCTCCTCGCCGTACGTGTTGTTGCAGTTGAGGGAGCGCTGGGGGGAAGGGGGCAGGTTCTGCTGAGCAGAGGCCACCAGGGCACAGAGGACGGCTCCATCCCCACGACCAGCCCCAGAGCAGCACCCTGATTGCCCCAGCGGGCGCAGAGCACAGGAGCCCTGCTTCTGGCCGGAGTCCCTGCTGGCTGCGAGGGAAGAGGGGCTACAACCAGGACAGACCCCACCCAGGGGACTCCGCTCGCTCCCGGGGCTGCAGGGACGGCAGCTGCCACGCTCCAGGGGTGGGTCTGGGACTGGAATGCACCTTTGTAGGGGACGTGAAGCCTCAGAGCTGCTCTAATACTGGTCCAGACACCCCCATGGACCCGGCCCCAGGCCCCAGGGCGCGTCCTACCGTCAGCAGGGTGGCCCTTGTGGTGGCCGAGTCATCCAGGTACGACTTCTTCCCAGCAAGCACGCCCTTCAGGTGCTTCCGGACCTCCCTGCTGAGCACGCAGTGGAGCAAGAGGACGGCGAGGCCCTGGAGGGGAGGTCAGGTCAGCGCCAGGCTCGGCCTCAGGAGGGGAGCCAGGGCCCTGCTGCCGCCACACTGTGCACCCGCCTGTCCCAGGACAGCTCACCAACACAGGCCTGGCCAAGGAGAGACACCCACCACGGCCCACGCCAGGCATCCCCGTCCCAGGGGCTTCCAATGTCCCGCGGTGGGGAGCCTGGTCAGGGCAGCCAGAGGGCCTCCTCCCAGGCCCCCGCCCTCAGGCGGTCTGGGTCCCCAGTGTTCCAGCATTAGTCAGGGTCCTGGGAAGCCCTCGGTGTGGATGGTAAATGACCAGCACCCTCCCTGGGGACACAGCGGGATTTACGCCGGCCTGGGAGGGGGTAAGGCCCTGCACTGCTGGGCAGGGGACTGTGTCTTGACAGACACAGGAGGACTGTGGAACAGGGTCCCTGGGAGGGCTCGGGACAGAGCTGTGTTTGAGCAAACAGCCTCCTTTCTGGTGGCAGGACCACAAGGCTTTGCCATGACCCCCAACACATGTGGCTACATAGGAACCACAGCCACGGTGCAGTCCTGACTGTCCAAGAGTGAGGACACAGCCTGGACGCTGGGTCAAGGATCTCCCTGGGGACCCCCTCGGGGCCGCTCAGGGTTGGGGCATTTCAGACAGGAAGTAGCTCAGGTGGCCCACGACCTCACCAGGGATGGCCCAAGAGAGGCCCCTCCGAGTGACCACGACAGCCCCCCACCTGTAAGCAGCTGAAGATGGCGAAGAGGTAGTGGAAGGTGAGCACGTCGCTGTTCACGGCCAGCAGCCCCAGCAGCCAGGTGGCGCCGATGAGCAGCAGCAGGAGAAAGGCCGTCCGCAGCAGGGAGCTGGAAGGGAAGCGAGGACACCCGTTTGACTGCACCGCCCTCCTCCCTCCCCTCGACCCTCCCACCCCTCCATCCGTCCATTACTCTCCCTTTTTTTCTCCCAAACTCTTTCCAAGCATTTACCACGAGGCAGCCGTGGGCCCGCAAAGGGGAAAAGACAGAAGATGCCTACGTTAGTGGGCAGGTGGAAGGCAGGCAGGAAATCAAAAGGCAAATGGATAAATAAGAAACTGTGAGCCAGAAGAGCTTCGCGGGCTGCGTCCACAGCAAGCCCGGAGCGCGGCCCCGGGAGACACGGGGAGCCTAGTGCAGAGCCGCACGCGTTTCCGTGAGCCCAGAGAGGTCGGGGGTGGGGGATGAGGGGTCCGGCCCGCCGTGCAGGCTCCTAGCAGGTGCTTCCCGCTCTCTGCCTCAGTCTCCCCGGCCGTAAGAGGGACGGCAATGGGCATCCCTGGTGGGGTCGTGCAGGGGACTGCAAGTGTTCACGTTGAGTCACGTGCTCAGAAAGGTGAGTGTGTCGGGGAGGACAGAGAGGCCATGACCAGGCCAGGCCCCACCCCGTGCCCCCTGCTTGTCTCTGTCCCTGCATAGCCATTTCAGACTCTTTGCTCCTGTGTGGGCTGGGCAGCCCGGCAACCCCTGCTGCCCCAAGGCCCTCCTCATGCATCCTTCCTTCCCGTCCCCCGGCTCGGGTCACCCAGCCCGGTAGACGCCCTGTCCTCCCTGGCCCTGTCGTGGCTCCTGGACTCCATGCTGCAATCTCCCACCACTGCTCTGACTGCTTCCCCTTTCCTCTCCCACAGCACTGGGGGGTCCCCTCCACTGGGCCCCCACTCTCTCATGCTGCTCCCTCTCGCTGGACCAGCTCCTCCCCTCCAGCGGCCCCAGCATCACATCACCACCAACCCAGGAAGTTCCATCCCCCCACCCCCACCCTGTCTGACTCCACAGAGTGTCCAGGCACCCTGGCACCCCCTCCACCCAGCTGTCATTGTCCCCGCCTCCTGTCCCAGCCAAGGACAGAGCCCGGCATCATCGCTAACCCCTTCTCTCCTCAGCCACCAAACCCTGTGGCTCCTACATCCTAAACATCTCTGGGATCCACGCCCCCTCCCTGGTCCAGGCTGCCACCCCGGCCAACTGCCCTGTCCCCCTGTGGTCAGCCTCCCTCCCTTTCCTCCCCAACGTCCATCTCAGCTCCAGACACCGCTCAGCACAGCCCATACATGTCCAGACGTGGCTGCCAGTACCCCCAGGACAGCCTAGAAGCCAGCAGCTGCCCGCTGGGTGACAGGCACTTTCATGGGGCCTGCCGGGCGTGTGACCCAGACCTAAGGGGGTCTTGGGTGGGGCTGGCTCCTTGTCAGGTCCCACCCACCGGCCAGGTTTAGCACCAACTTACACAACCCGTTTTCTTTCATAATAATGGCGCTTCCTTTGGCAGGAAACCTTTGCAGACAGGACAAAAATGACTGTGTTGACCTGAAAAAAAAACAAACAGAAAAACCCAAAGTCAGGTGGTGGCACAACTGTATTGTCACAACAGATCTTCAAAAGCCAAGCGCTCCTGAGGGTCTTCAGCCCCCATCTCAGAGGTGCATGTAGGATGAGGCCTTGGGGCCCTGGGGGCGGACGCTGCTGCTGTGGGTGGGCACTGAGCTGTCTCAGTGGGCGTGCACAAGGACCAAATCCCGGAACCCCCAGGTCTGAGGACGAGGCTTCATCACTGTGAGAGCAGCTGCTCCTGTTCCGTCCAGGTGCTCAGGGGAGCCATGACCCAGACCCCAACACCATTTGCCTGAGGGGCGCCGGCTTCCCACGTCCCTGAGAACCCAGGCTCTGGGGAACTCTGACACTCACAATTACAACTGTTCCGATGGGCCCTGCGAAGCTCCAGATCAGGGTGTCGTGAAGAGACAGCCAGCAGAAGTCTGGGTTTCCGTAGCCCTGGGGGTCCAGGCCCACCGCGAGTCCTGGACCACAAGGAGGGGAAGAGTGAGGGCCACCCCCCAGAGAGGACCCCTGCTGAAGGCCAGCCTGATGGAGGGGTGGCCACAACTGGGGCGTTCTTAGCCCCCAGGTAGGACCGGGGCCCCAGCATCACCCCCAGAGGAAAGAGTGAGGAGCCCAAGATAAGCAGCCGGGAAAAGACACGGAACCAGGTCCTCTCCCAGCAAAGGCCCCCTTGAGGCCAGCCACAGGCCCACCACGCCCACATGGCTGGGCAGCCATGAGCTGCTGATGGATTCACCCCAGAGGCAGGAGCCCACTGAGCCAGAGCTGCTGAGGGGACCAGAGAGATGGAGGGTGGGGATGGAACCTGGCAGAACCAGCCACAAAGCACGACGGGGACGCCCTGCTGGCTGGGCCACCACGACTGAGCCCAGGTGCAGGGGAGGAGCGCCTTGAGAGCATACACCTGCCGCATGCACACGCGTGCACAGACCACACACACCAGACACACGCGCACCCCAGAAACTGCTCTCCACTGCAAGGTGCCATGCAAATGAGGAGTCTCCTATATTATCTAAGCCCCAGCCACGGTTTCCAACCTTGGGACAGGCTAGAGGGGGACCTGTCCTTGCAGAAATGTCAAGGTGGAGTTTGGGGCGACTCCTCCAACACTGACCTTGTTTAGGACAGAGGAGCTGCCCACTCCTCCCTGTGGCCTCTCCCGATCTGGTCTGGATTGTTCCACAGCCCCTACTCCCTTGCTTAAATCCTAAAAAGATCAGGTCTCCCTACCGACTGCTCAAAACCCTGCAATGACTTCCCACTGTCCTCAGGAGACGGACATGGCTATTTCTGTGGCCTTCTAGCCTTTCGTGACATGGTCACAGCCACACTCCAGCCCACATGGCACCCCCACCCCTCACTCCACCCTGGCCCAGTCTCACTCCAGTCAGGTCTCCACACACACTCCCCACCAAGGCAGCCTGGTTCCTAGTAGCCATCAGCGCAAATGGTGCTTCCTCCAGGAAGCCTTCCTGACCTGAACCCACCCATGACGGCAGGTCTCACCCCCCCTCCTTCAGCGCCGAGCCCACCCTTCAGGGCAGGGTCTGTGGATGAGCCAAGAGTTAAGTTTGTCATTACTTAATGCCTGTCTTCCAGCAGGGGCGACTCCCGAAGAGCACAGGCTTTGTCGTCTCACTTGGACTCTGACTCTGGGCCTAGAACCTCTGTGGAGGCACAGAAGAGCCCTCCATGGGTGAATGAATGAGCAAGCGTGTGCACACACACACCTGTGAGCCTCAGCTCTCCAGAAGCCGAGATGAGGGCCAGGGAACGCGCATGGGGAAATGGCCCGAGAGGACCTGCCACCAGTCCCCTGGGTCCTAGAGGCCCAGCTGGGACAGGCCCCATGACCTGAGACCAGGGCTGCCCCCACATGGCGTCTGGAGGAGAACTGCTCTGTCCAGCGCCATCTGGAGAGGCTGCCCGAGGGACCACAAGGTGGGAATGGAACGGGGGCTCCCCAACACACACACATGGGTGTGCATGGGCAGAGAAAGGCCAAGGGCACCTGGGACATTGGGGGAGGACAAAGGAGGTGGCAAGAGAGCCCGCCTGGCAGGGCAGCCGCACCCAGCAGTGCCTCATCCCAGCCGAGGTTCCAGGAATCATTTTAGGCTCTTTTGCAAGAGGTGTTCATTCCACCCCCCTCACAAAGTGGGCAGACACGGGAGTTTTTGTATGTTAGGTGTCACAGACAGAGCCTGAACAGACTTGCACCCATTCCTCCTGGACCCCACACCCGACAGGAGACACACCCCTCAGCGGGCACTGAGAGGCCACACTTGCGTGTGCAGATGCCCCGCCTCTGCCGGGGGCCGGTCGAGCTGGGGACATGAGAGAGAGGGGGCCAGAGCGCCCGGGGCTATTGGTTTATCTGACGTGGGTTCCCGTCAGCAGTGGCACCTGGGTCCCCCGCGTGGTGGTCGGTCCCCATCCCAGCTCACCCGGCAGGGCTGCTCCACGCGTCCTCACCTGTGACAATGGCTGGGATGCCCCAGCCCACGACGTAGTAGAACCTCATGGGCCCTGCGTCGATGTTGCGCACCTCGGTCAGCATGCGGTAGACGTGCAGGCTCTCCACGAAGGTCCAGGCGAAGGTGCTCATGTAGACGTAGTGCAGGAGGATGGCGATCACCGTGCACAGGAACTGCGGAGAGAGGAGGCCGCTCAGCGCCGGCCCCAGCGGGACCACGGCCCCGCACCTCGGACTCAGGGCCAGGTGGCATGGGGTGGGGGGGTCGCCAAATCAGGCCGCTTTGCAAATTGGAGGGCACACAGGTCTGAGAAAGCTAGAGGGGGACCTGGTTCTTTACTATTCATTCACCAAGAAGTGGCTGAGGGCCGATAGTCCCAGCATCTTGGACTCCTGATATGGAAAAGAGGACAGGGAGTGAGGCGCCCAGGGATCCCAGGGACCATGACTGAACACAACCCGGGGCATCGGGGTGGGCAGAGCCTCTGGGGTTTTCATTAGAGGCTGGAATATTGTATTTTCATGTCATGGCTCCAAATTTTTAAGTGCTTGCATTTCATTTAAAGTTAAAAAAAATACGGAGGCAGCCTGCTCAGGCTGTAGCCCCAGACCATGACCGTGGCCTCTGCCCACCACGCAACCCTCATGTGGGTCTCCGAGGTCCAGCGGATGCGGCCAGCAGGAGGGAGGAGCCTCACGCTTGGAGACCTCGCTGTCGAGTAAGAGCGAGCTCCTCATGTCTGTGCTGATTTAACGGAGCCTCTGTCTCCTGCAGAGGGAAACAGGATGAGAGCGTTTGTTCTGTTTCTGTCCTTGGCTGGGTGGGGCTGTGTGTCTGACATGTGATGAGTGCTGGGAGGAGAAAGTCGACCTCCACAAGGCAGCTGAGAGCCAGCTTCCTGGCCTCTGGGGGCCTTGGTGACTCAGCCCTGAGTCCCTGAACACCGTAGGTGGGGCAAGGATGGGAGAAAGGCAGTGTTGGGGGGATGCTGGAGACACTGCGGGATCTGGGGAGTCCAGCCTGAGGCCGTCAGTGGCAAGTCCAGTCGGAGGCGCTCTGAAATGGACCTTCAGAGTTCTGCCTCGGCCCACAGTGGCCTCATCTGGTCCTCCTGAAAGGGGCAGGCTGCCCTGGCCAGGACTCACATGGCCCATCAGCTGGGACATGTGGGCAGGCTCCCCTCCAGGTCCTAGGAAGGAGGGCTGGCAGGGGAACAGAGGGGAGAGGGAAGAGAAAACCCCAGGCCAGACCCCCATCTGAGCGCCACCCTGAGATCTTCTGCCCAATCCTCGCTGCCATCCCATCAGCCCAGCCTCCCGGAGTCTCGGTGTCTGTGTCAAGGACACCCCCACTCCAACAGACACAAGAGCAGGGGACAGAGAGCCATCCCCGATGCACACGGAGGCCTCTTGCTCAGGCGCCAGGTGGCGTCCCTACGGGAGCTCCCCAGAGCCCAGGCGCGCTGGGAACACAAGGGCCACCTGGCGCCAAGTCCACCTGGATGGGCCATGTTCTCTCCAGAAACAAAAGCCAGAGCTGTGGGAGGGAACCGCTGTAGGCAGTACAAAGCAGGGTCCCAAGCAGATGAAAAAGCAGAATCCTAGGTTATGACGGGAGACATGCCCTCTCCCTCAGACACTGGAAACGGTCAGGAAGCGGGGGCCCGTCTTTGTGATGGGCAGAGGGCAAACCCGGGCTGGGTGAACCCCTCACCAGCCCCCACGACCCCGTACAAAGCTAGGCTGGCTTAGCAAGGGGAAGAACGGGGAGGCTGGGTTGCTGCCTTAAATAATGTGAAGAGTAAGCCCACAAAACCACCTCCGGGGGAAAGTGTTAGAAACCAACATGTGAAGATTCGAAGGGGCCGAACATGCAGGGACTTCTGCACTGAACAGACCACCTTTTCCAGAAACAGAACAAAGACAAACGCTAACGCGCAATCAGTCATTTCAACCTGCCAGTAATCTGGGAGATGAAAAACCTGCCTAGAGATGGGATTGTGAGTTTACAGAAAACCCATCAAAACCAGGCGCAGTGCCAAGCCCAGAATTACGGGCACCGCATTCCTTCTCTTCTTCGTGCTCACCAGCGCGTGGAGGCTGCAGAGCTCTCCTTCCAGGCGGCGGCGGCAGCAGAGTCGGCGCCTGAAACCAGCGGACGGCCTCCCCGCGTTTCCCACGCGGGGTTCAGTTGCAAGGAGTGGCCTGTTGCGGGCTCTCCGTCCCCTCTGTTCCGACCACTCAAAGGCACCCTTGAAGGGTTTTGCAGCCAGTCAGGCAGCCCCCCGACCCCAAGCTCCCCTGGCTGATGCCGCGACAAGGACTTGTGCACAGGGACAGGTGCGCGGAACCTGCGGGGAGCAGAGGAGCGGCCAGGGCAGCAGCACGCCCGCCCCGGGAGCCAGAGGATCGCTCACGGGTCCGCCCTCTGCGCCAGGCCAGGCGCTCCCCTTGCCGAGGCTGGCAAGCCGCCAAGGTCATCATGAAGCCCCCTCAAGGTCGCCTGCCTAGATTCCCTGCCTCTCTAACTACCACCCTTCTCCCGAGGGGGTCTGAGGGGTCCCCGTTTGCACCAAGGGGAGGAAGAGCCTCAGCGTGCAAGGGCCAGACAGAAAGTGCCCTCTGGGTCTTTTTATTCCGTGCTCTCCTGGCCTGTCCGTTCCCACAAACACATCTCGTCACCTGGCGGCTGCCTCCCCAGGCTCAGCTCTGCACTTTCTCAGCCCCCAGGAAACAGGCGTATCCAGGCTCACCCGGACCCACTACCCTGAGTTTCCATTTCATGGTGGCGCGCCCTTCTGGAGACTCGAGGCACTGCCCACTCCTCCCGCCCTCCCCCTTTCACACCCACTCCCACCAGACTCCTGCCCTTCTCCTGCCGCGCGTTGTCCTGGCCTCAGCTCCAACCATAGGACCTAGGAAGATGCCATCCTGTCTGCCTCCGCCCTTCCTCCACCTTTCCCACCCATCTTCCCTGCTGCCAGGGTCCTGTTCCTAAGACGCACACCAGTCATGGTTCTCCACAGCACAATGCTGCACGCAAAACAGAGGTGGTGCTGCCTACTTGGCCAGCTCCACAGGCTCCGGATGATCAGATGTGATCCTGGCCCCTCCCACTGGATGGTGAGTGGACGGTCCTGTTCAGCCCGCCTCTGACCACCTGACATTCATGTACCGGCATCCACGTGCGTGTCTACAGGGCGGGCTCTGTGGGCAGAGGTGGGCGGCCTTCTAGGATCTGGGTATTTGGTAGATTTAATACACTGACAATCAATAGTCCTCACCGTGTGAGGAACAAAGAAATGACAGCAGTGTCCACAGCAGGAGCAGGTGGGTGTGGTGTTGGAACAGCCCACTGAGACGCTGAGGGCCCATCGCTCCCCATGGGAGAGATCAAGATTAGGCGAGACTCACCGTTGAACTTTCTGGAGTCACCACATAGGCACATGGGATGGTCCGCTGGCCTCTTGTCCCCCCAGGGCTAGTACGGTCACCAGTCAGTGGTGGACAAAGGAACTCACACACAGTGAACGGTCTACCCTGGGCACTCGGCCTTTCTGGCCCTGGCTCTCTCGCCTGGGAGAAGGCTGCTGCACCTCCCAGGGCCCCAGGGATATGTCAGTGAGCTAAAGTGTGCGTGTAAGTCCTCGGGCACAGAGCCAGCACCACCGCCCTCACCCCCATCAACTTGCTATGACCCTTGTATTTGGGAAAATCCCCGTGCAAAAATGGAAAATCGCTTGCTTGCTACCAGCCAGGGACCAAACCACAAATCTCCCTCCACCCTCTTGCCTTTCTTTTCCCCAGTGATCTCAGCAGGGCCGCCATCTCCCCCGCCAGAGCTGGTCCCTGCCCCATTTCCCAGCAACCTCGCCCCAGCCACCAGCCAGCCCCTCCCTCCTTCCCCTCGAATTATGAACCACGGGGCTGGGGTCCCGCACATCCTACAGAAGTGCCCCCATCCCCAGCCCGTCCTCTGGCTGCAGTCAGTACCTCAACCTCTCCTCCCGTGAAGCCAAGCTACTTCACAGCATCTCTCCCAAGGCCTCTCTGCAGTCATTTCTACCCACTCCTCTGTGAGCTACATTTTAAATATACTTTGTGGGGGATGAGCAGGACTGTAACTGACTATATACATCCAGCCCCAGTAACAGCCAGCTACCTTGCTAAACTGCAGTTATTTCTTACGTGTCCGTAGATTGGTTTGGCTTTTCTGTCAGGTCCATCGTATTGACTATGTAATCTAACCACCTAACGGTAACTTCCGTGAGCCTATGCAACACCCCATGAACCCCTGTGACTCCCCAGGAGCCCACACGACACTCATGAGCCCACAGGACCTGGCGTGGCTTGAGCAAGACACCCCGTGTTTAACCAGACAACATCAAAGCTCCCCCGTCTTCCTCTGGCCCACGATTCTCTCCCAGCAACCCTGTCTCGTCAGCCCTGGCTACCCACCAGCACCACCTGGCTGAGATCGGGGCCTGTCCTAGACTGCTCGCTCCTCCTCTGGGGTGCACCTGCGCTTTCACAGAAAGTGTGGCCATGACTCCTCAGAAAGGCAGGGCAGGGAGATCTTACCGGGCACAGACGTTTTCAGGCTCAAGGGACAGCTCGCAGGACTCTGGGGTCTCACAAATGACTTAATTATGAGGAAAGCCCTAGCACCTGGGTCAGGAAAGTAAGGGTGGAGGCCGATGAGGCCCCTGGCTCCGGTGCAGGGAGATTTCTGTGTGCTTGGCCTGGGTCCTCAGCTTCCCAGAGGCTCCCAGCTACACGCACCGGAGTCAAACAGCAGGGCATCCTGCTCCACCTGGCCCCTCCCTGCTTCAGCTTCGGAGGAAGGTTGGCCGGAGTGCGCGCCCACGGAGCCAAGTGGAGGATGAGGCCGGAGGAGGGGCCGGGCCACACCCAGAGGCGTGGCCGGAAGAGGGGCGGGGCCATGCAGGAGGCCTGGCCAGGGGGCGGGCCCACAACGGGAGGCGTGGCCAGAGGGGGGTTCCTCACCGGGTTTTCCGTCTGGTCAATTCCAATCACGAAGACCAGCTGGGAGAAGAAAAGCGCCACAATGAGGTTCTTGTGGATGCCGTGCAGGTTGGAGCGCAGCCTCCGCACCAGGGCCAGGAGCACGAAGGCCACCAGCAGGGCAGCCAGGGACAAGGCCACGGCCGCGTAGGTGACGATCTTCAGGGGCAGGACCTCTCCGTGCTGCGGGCGGGTAGGTTAAAGGCAGAGAACATCTAAGGGCCGGCTCTTATGGAGCTTTTGCACAATAAAGACACGTTAACATATGGATGATTGTGGACAGGAACCAGCGCGACCACCACGTGGCCCTCAGAGCGGCAAAAACCCAGAACAGAAACCCAATGAATAGTTTAGAGTGATAAACAAAAAGTTCCGGAGATGTTGGTGGTGACACTTGCAAAGACTGAACATACTTAATGCCCTTTAATGGTTGAGATGATGAATTTTATGTAACGTGTGTTTTGCCACAACAATAAAATAAAAAACAGAAAACCTCACACCTAAATGCTGCTGTCCGGGAGAGGCTGAGCCTGTCCACCCAAATTCCGAGCTGAGAGACCTTCAAATAGACTCTCAGGTCACACAAAAGGCAGAGATGTCACAGCTGCCGGAAACCGCGGCTCTCCCCTGTGCTTTCGCGAAAGGTGACACTCGTCCAGGACCCAGTGCCCTGCAGAGTTTTGGCATTTGGGGAACAAGCAGCTCTGGTCCTCAGGTAACTTCTGGAAAGGACTGTTCTGAACTCACACAGAACTGTGAGCGGGGCTGCCTGGGGGACGTGGGGGTCAGGGCGTGCGGTGGGACGGGGGACCGAGTGCTCAGGGATCTCTCCCATACCCGGGTGTCCCTGGAGGCTATGTTTTGCTGCAAGAGTCCAAAGCCACAGCATCACCCACTCCCTCACGGCTTGGGGGGCTAATCAGAGGCCTCTGGCTTTGGGGCACCAGGGGCATGGGAGCCTTGGTTC